GTCCGCCGGCGTGCTCGTACTTTCCTTCCTTCGTCGGTCGGTCCGAAGGCCGTGGGCAGTGGAGGCGGTAGTCGGTTGGTGGCAGTGGAGTAGTAATTAACGCGACCCGGGGGAGGAAGGGAAGGGAGTGGGGGGAGGGGAGCAGGGGCAGGGGCAGGGGCAGGGGCAGGGGCAGGGGCAGGGGCAGGGGCAGGAGGAAGAGGAACAAGAGGAGGGTGATGCCCATCGCAGGTTCCGATTCTGCTCAACATGAAGGCGATGAGGCTGCTGACGGTGGAGACCATGATGATGTTTCGCTCCATCGCCACCGTCGCCGTCGCTCTCGGCGACAGCCTCATCCTCGGCTCCCAGCTCAGCCGCCGCCAGATGGTCGCGTGCGCCGTCATCTCCCTGGGCGGCAGCATCTACGCCTCCTCCGACCTTCGTTTCAACGCGCGGGGATACGCGTGGGGTCTGGCGTACGCGCTGTCGATGGTGGTGAACACGATCTACGTCAAGTTCTCCTTCGAGAAGAACAAGGGGATGAACTCTTGGGAGAAGACCTACCTCAACAACCTCCTCGCCTCCCCCGTCATCCTCCTCCTCTCTTTCCTCACTGAGGACATGTCGTCTCTTCACCGCAAGGTCGTGGAGATCGAGCTCCTCCCGCTCGTCTGGGTTCTTCTTTCCTGCGTGATCGGCCTAGGTAGCCTCGGGATCCAGGAGGATGAAACTTGACGGAGCATGCAGGCATCAGCTTCAGTGGGACGATGTGCCGTGACGTCCTCTCCGCCACCTCCTTCGACGTCCTCGGCAACTGCAACAAGTACCTCACCCTCGCCTTCAACTCCATCGTCCTCGGTGAACTCAAGTCTCTTCATCCTCCCCGCCCTTTCCCCCCTCCTTCAAGTCTCCTCCTCCTCCCGTCTCCTCGTCACCTTCTCCTCCATTCCCTCTTCCCCTCCTCTCCCTTGTCCTTCGTTCCTCGTGCTCTTCTGCTGCATCCTCCAGTCTCTGCCGTCGATCCCTCGTATTTCTTCAGCGCTGCTCTCTCTGACCAGTGTCAACAGGCTCGTCAACCACTCCCCTCTCTCTCTTCGGCGTCCTCCTCGCCCTTACAGGCACCACCTCCTCCTCCCTCCTCCTCCTTGCTTACGCTCCTCGCAGGTGGCGCACTCTACTCCCCAGCTGGGGGCCTCCTGGTCTCTCGGCTGACAGCCAAGAAGAAAGACTGAGCTCTTCCCTAGTTTATCTACACGCTCATCGCGTTAACCTCTCCCTCCGTCATTCACACGCTCGCCACTCTCTCCAGCTCCCTCCCTCCCTCCTCTGTCGCCGCGTCTCTCTCTTGCAGCCATGCCGCCTGCTGCTGTCGGCTGATCATCCGCAGCTGGTTCATCACTGCCAACCCTGTCAGCTCCTCCCCCTCACCTCGCATGCTCACGGTTTGATCGTCGCGTGTCCGCCTCGCTCAGCGTCTTCTCCAGCGACTGCGACGCCTTCCAGGAGCGCTCCTGCTGCTGCTTCAGCCGCTTCGCCTGCTTGCCGACGGCCTTTTCCCTCGCCTTCTTGACCTGCGCCTCCATCTGAGACAGCTTCTCTGCTATTCTGCTCTTCGTCGCCTCGTATCGCTGCCGTTGACTCTCGTCCGTGTACCAGTCAAGGAAGGTTATCATGATCTTGGAGCCCTCTTCCGTCCTGTCCACCTCGTCGTTGGCGTCGTCCTCCATCTCCGAGGCCTTGTGGTTGTACTCAGGGATGAAGCACGAGCTGATCTCCCCGTCCTCCAGCATCCGCAGCAGCGCCTTCCTATTCTCTTGGATCACGCAGATCACCTGTGCCCTTCCGTTAGCTCCTAGCAGCATCGCAGCCCCCTCTCCCGTTCGCCCTCATCCTCCCTCTCTGCCTCAGCGCTCCTCTCTCGCTCCTCCTCGCGCTCCCCCCCTCTGCCTCACATTTCTGATGACACATCCGATGCCGATCTGCAGGTCTCGCTCCTCGGGGAACTCGTGGAACATGTGGAGGAGGTGGAGGATGCCCCCGGCGTCTCGGAACACTTGCTTCTCCGCGATCCACTCGAAGCTGAGCCCCTGCATGATGGAGAAAGCTCCAGCCTTGGTCAGAGGCAGCCGGAGGCAGTGCAGGATGAGGCTGTCTCGCAGGTCGAGCAGCGCTGCTTCCTTCATCGCGTTCCTGATGAGATCTGTGTTCTGATTCGCAATCCTGAACAAAGAATGAGCTGCTCCAAACAGACAACATCGTGCAAACAACAGCACACAGACAACATGACTTCACCTGTTGATGATCCGCACGACGTTCAAGTAGAAGGAAGGGTCGGTGATGGGAAAGGTCTCAAGGAGAGGCTCGAAGAGCGACGCGAGGCAGCGGCAGACGTTGGAGGCCTGGAAGGAAGGGATCTCGGGGTCCTTGTCGAAGTGGTCGACCACCTCTCGGATGGCGAGGAAGTGGAGCGACTCGTTGTCCGTCAGCTCCTTGAGCCGCAGGTGCTTCACCTGGTCCCGGAAGATGCCGCACATGAGCAGCCTCCCAATCACCTTCTGCATCGGCGACTGCTTCAGCCCCACCACCGCCTTCACCCTCGGGTCCTCCGACACCACGTCCGAGATCGACGTCACCCTCAGCTGGTGCAGAAACCTCCTGCACCAGTCGATGCCTCCATGGGCCAGGATGGTGCTGACGCTGTAGGGGTTCTCGAGGACGGTCAGCACCATCTTCAAGGCGCACAGAATAACGTCAGTCTTGTCACAGTGGCTGAGCACCTCCAAGACGATCTGCATGGCTTGCGGGAACAAGATCAAGGTGGACTGCTCGGTGAGAGACAGCTCGATCAGAGCCGAGCACGTCAGGATCGTCACCTCGTGCTGCTGCAGGATCTTGCACAGGATCTCGAACCCGTTGGCTCGTTCGAACCATCGGCTCGTCTTCCCATCCCTCATGAGGAGCGTCAGCAGCTTCAGGGCTCCATGGCGGCAGGCCTCCTCCTGCGAGTCGAGCACGCAGAACACGTAGTCCACGCCTGTGCTGCCTCGGATGGCGTCGGGAGAGAGGTCCCCCTGCTTCAGCAGCTGGATCACGAGCTCCACCACCTGTGCCCTCACGTTCACTCCCGTGCTGTCGCCGTCCACCAGGAAGGCGACTGTCTGCTTGAACTCTTGGGGGCCCCAGAGAGGAGCCGTGTGCCGGACCAGGTTGAGAAGCACGGGGACAACGGAGGCGTCGGAGGATGAGAGAAAGTGATAGATGACCTGAAGTCCCAGCTGGGGCTGCCGCATCCAAGTCTCGCAGGTGACAGAGGAGCCAGTCATGAACTTGTCGTCTATGAGCAGCAACACGCTCCTCTTGAGGTAGTCGGAGTTGAACGACAGCAGGTACACCACAATCGCCACGCACTCCCCGACGTTGAGCCCTGACGTCCCGCCCAAGGAGGCCATCTTGATTAGGGTGTGGAAGACCGGGAGAGAGACGTCGACGCTCGATTTGAAGATGTACAGGAGGATGTTGTACCCGTTCAAGATCGCAAACTCCGCCCTAGAAGACTCCCAGGTCCTCATGAGCTGCGCTAGGATCTCGAGGACCGTCTGCTTGTGATGAGACTTGACGGAGTGGAGGAGTCTGATCACGAGCCTGATCCCTCCTGTCTCCGTCAGGCACTGCTGGAAGCTCTCTGTGCTGTGTGTTTGCAGGAACCCTCCGTACTCTGAAGGCGCCTCCTCCTGATAGCCTTTCTTCGGCCAAGCTGAGAACGAGTGGATCTTGTCCGAAGACTTACGGGCAGTTGAAGTTGCGTCGGCGTTGAGCGACTGAGTGAAGCGGTCAATAAGGTTCTCAGCTATGTTGCTCCAGGACGGCGACCCCAAGGCCTCGATGTCCATCATGGTCGAGGACAAGAGGCTTGACTTGGACTCCACGCAGTTCTTCGGGTGGATGATGGACATGAACTTCATGTCGGTGTTCATCGACTTGAGCCGCACGCTATCGACTTGGAGGGTACCCAACGAGTGAACGCTAGAGACCATCTTGCTGTCCCACACTCCCTCAGTGATGTAGATCGTGCTCACAGCCCCCCTGAACGTCCCCTGGCTCGCGTCTTTGCTGTCTCCGAAGAACCAGCCGGTCAGAGGCTTCTCCTTTGAGAAGCTCCCGGACTGCGAGTGCGGGTAGGTCAGGAAGCTACAGCTCTGGATGAAGGACCCGTCCACGTAGAGGCTCAGGGTGCGGTTGCAGTGAGTGAAGACGACATGGTGCCATTTGTGGTCAGCGGCGAAGGAGTATGCGTTGAAGGCGTTGAAGGCGAACGGGATGTTGTTCTCGGCCGACTTGTCTTGCGCCTGAGTCCTCACGCTCAGACATCGAGCCGAGTCATCTTCTGCTCCGATCCGCTGGAAGTACAACTCACACAGCTGGGTAGCACCTGGAGGCAAGGTGAGGGGAGAGCGAGGATGGGGCAGCGGGAGGTACCTTGGGTCCACCTCATGAGAGTCGATTCTTCGCCGTGGAAGGAGGAGATCTGAATCCAGCAGCTCAGCGTGTAGCCAACCTTGGGGGGAGGGAACTTGTCGATGCAAGAGGTTCGGATCCACGCAGGCCGCCCATCGCAGTGGAAGAAGTGCAAGGGGAGGCATCGCTCGCAGATGGAACAGATCAGCTTGAGGACCAGTGAGTCCTTCCCTTGCTCGCTCGCCATGCTCTCACTTCCCGATGAAGCGAGCGTGAGGAGGAACTCTACCTCGCTGGTGCTCATGCTGTAAGAGCCCACCAGCGCGAGGATGTCCATGTACATCTCTTCCATCCCCGGGGAGTTGGGGATGATGTTTGTGAAGACGAGGCTGATACACTGAGTCATCGCCGCCAGCCTCAGGTTCTCCGGGTTCAGCTGCAGCAGCGTGTGGATGGTGGCGAGCACGGTCCTCTGGATAGAGGGCTCGGACCTCGGCAGGGTCTCCAGGAGCATGCAAGCGGCGGCGCTGCTGCGGAATCGGAAGAGGCTGAGCTTCTGCCCTCTCGAGCTGTCAGGGTCCGGGCACAAGTCGGACGACAACGTCTCGAGCATGCGATCTCGCGAGTCCAGCTGGGAGGAATCTGAGGAGCAGACCATGGTGCGGGCCTCGGACTGAGAGGAGTTGGAGGGAGTCCACTTGAGCCTCGAGGAGGCCTCGCTCTTCCTCGACGCAGTCTCGCTCTTGGCACCCACGTCATTCGGCACGTGCGACGAGTCCCTGGCGCAGGTCAGCCGCCCGACGAATCGCGGAGTTGGTTTGCGAATGTTCATGATCACGTTGCTGTTGATGTCGACGGCTGCAAGTCTAGGAACCGATTGAAAGTTGGAGCACAGGATGTTCTCGAGGGGGTAAGAGCTTGACATCTGCAGCATGTACTCCATGACAGACAGGTCGAGCTTGATGTTGGACTCCTTCAGGATGTCCGTCAGCCTTTGGAAGGTGACCTTCGACTCCAGATGCTGCTTCAGCTTCTCGTTCTTTCCGACGATGCAACCCAAAGTCTTGAAGGCTTCACGAGCCACTGTCGGCCCTCCGATCTGAATGGTTTTGAGGAGTACCTGGAACATGGCCGAGTCGCGGAAGCGAACTCTGATGCTGAACTCCTTGTCGCCCACGTCCATCTCGTTCAGCCAGGAGCGGATCATGATAAGCACTAGAATCCTCTTCTTGATCGGCAGGTCGTCGCGGTCCAGCAGCCGCTCGAGGCTGTTGACGCACTCGGCCTCGTTGGGGGAGAGCCAGGTGACCTCCAGGAGGATCCAGACGCTCAACGCGCAGACTGTGAGAGGAAAGGAAGACAAGACCAGCGACTCCATGACCTCGTGGCCCTGCATGCCGACGAAGTTGCCGATCTGACTAGGGTCTCTAGACACGAAGTGGCAGAGCATCTCGAGCAGCATGATGACGACGTTCTCCTTGGGGCTACGGTGACCCGTAGAGTTGTGGAGGAAGGTCAACAAGCCCAAGTTGTTCTCATCTGAGTTGCTCTCGAAGCGAACCTGCGAGATCATGGACAGTTGGTTGAGAATCCCGACGAACATGGACTTGGAGGAGAAGGACAGGTTCCTTGAAGCGCGGTCGCGGAAGAGATCTCGTGTGGACAGGATCATCTCCAAGCGGACCAACGGATGCATGTTGACGTCAGAGAAGGAGACGTGGAACAATCGTTCAAGCGTCTCATGATCGTGTCTGGATAGAAGGACTGCGCAATAGCTGCAAGGCATCGTCAGGCGAGAGGGTTGAGATCAACGAGGGCATGGCAGACCTGACGCAATCCAACATAGCCTCCATCAGCTGGCTGTAGGGGGAGGAGATGTAGCCCCTCACAAGGTCCTGAAGGAGCTCGTGAGTCACAAGACAAGAGGCGAATCGACCGACAGACCTCGTTCAAGAGCATGGTCTGCAGCTCTTGTATCAGGATATCGATGCCCTGCTTCATCTTCACGCACACAACATTCAAGTCGTTCAAGATCAGGAGCTCCTGTGTAGAGCCGTCAGACTGACCCGTCGATGACCCTTGCCATTAGCTCGTTACCTTCACGACGCTTACTGCACGGATTTTGACTTCAAGGTGACAATCAGACGAGATGAGTTTGAGGATCAAGACCAAAGCATCCACGTTTCCAATGCTCTGAACGCTTACAGGTCAGCACGCTATGTGAACAGGGCAATCAAAACAAGTTTTACATGGTCATGATTGCCATCTGTGATGATGTTCTTCATCAACCCAAAGAAGTCCTGTCCGAAAGAAGATGAGCACGAATTCCAAACAAGATGTCTGCGACGTTTACCTTGAGAAAAAGTTGCCCTGCAGGGGACTTGTAATCGTTGATCCCATTCAATATCTTGGTCATGAACGTGTACCCGTTGATGTCCCGGAATTCTTTTTGATTCCGCCGGTTGTTTCGCAATATCTTGGAGATGGTGGCGATGACGTCAAGCTGCACATCACTCGCAGCCTCCGCCAGCTTGGAGACGAGAGTGGAAAGCGCTCCTTGGATCCCCATGATCTGCTGCATTAGGTCGTCATCGGTCCGCTCAGAGTGCATGTGCTCCGAGATTAGGAAGTCGGTGTAAGCTCTCGGGGAGAGGTCCTGCCCCTCCACCAGGCTGACCGAGTCCTCGAACTCCTTGAGCTCCAACTCCAGCTCTTCGATTCGAGCTGCGATCTCTTTCCGAGAGGGAGGAAACTCAAGCTCCCTGTTCTCTACTTTACAGCCGCCGGAAGACTCCTCGGACACGTCATCATCAACATCCTCTGCCGGGCGGCCGGACCTAGAGATCAGCTTCTGGGCCTCGCTGACAGCTGCCTTGGTTGTCTTCCACACCACTGAAGGGCTGATGGACAGGCGGAACCCGATCTTGTTTGAGGTCTTCTCCACGATCTCGATCGCTTGCTTCAGCTGCGGAGGAGCCTCTGATTCCGAGTCCATCTCCTCATCGTGCGCTTGCAGGAAGTGGGTCAGAGTCTTGAGGGCCTCCCGGCTGATCCCGTCCTCTGAGTCCATCAGCACTTGCAGCACCTGAAGCAGCTCCCTGCCTCAGCTCCTGATGCCAGCAACTCCTCTCCTCACCTTCCTGTACCCATCCATGCGGAAGATCTCGAGCTTGCTTTCCCTGCAGCGTCCAGGAGCTCAGAGTTTGAAAGACAAGAACATCATGACATACAGCGATTGGGACATAGAGCCAATCATTCTCAGCACAGCTTTCTTGGCTTCTGTTGACTTGACATTTTCCAACAAGGACACCACCTTCTGGATGATCTTGGGTGCATCGACGGTAGCTATTCCACGATACTTCTCTTCTCTCAGGATCAACTCTGCCACCTTTGCAAGGCACATCACAATGGCGTCAGCCTGAAGCTTTCAGACCTGCAAGGCCTTGTTGATGGTCTGTGCGATTTGGAAGGAAACTTCAGGGTCTCGGGCTTCAATGATCCACGAAGGCACTTGACTCGTGTCCTTCTGCTCCCCCTCCCTTGCCTCCCCCTCTTCCTTGGCGTTGGAGGGCCTCTCCCCGACGGACCCCTCGTGTTGGCTCTGACCGGCTTCATGGCAGTTGGACAGGTGTCTGCGAGTAACGCGTGAGCGAACAAATCATGGAGCTTGTGCTTGACTTGACCTGTCTACCAGGTCCAACAGAGAGACTAGCACTTCCGTACAGTCCCCTGGCATTTGAAACTCAGTGTGACCATACAAACCCATGCGGTCCACATGGAAGATAAGTACGCACCATAGAAGGCCTTCAGGGTCTTCCCGTTGCTTGATGCTTTGAACTCTGTGTACGCATTCTGAAAGCTGCATGCAGGTTGTGAGTTCCCAACTCAGCGTGAGGGATCCAGATGGTTTACCTGTCAAGAAAGGTGGAGAGCTTCTGACTGACAAGCACAAGCTTTCCATCTGGGCTCTCAAGCTCCGATTGCGCTACTTCCTTGTACTCTGCCCAAAGCTTCTGAACACGCTGCAAGGCAGAGTAAGAAGCGATGACGGGAGGATCAGATCCAAGGTGCCGCTTTCCTCCTCTTCTCATTCCCTTCGCTCTCCTCCTCTCCTCCTTCCCTTCGCTCTCCTTCTCTCCATCTCGCCCTCTGCCCTCGCCTGCTCACCTTGAAAGTTCGGTACTTGTGCCACGCCTTCATGGCGTCGCCATGGTGAAGGTCAATCGAAAGGGTTTGAGCAACACCCGGGGGTAGGGGTCAGGGGCAAATTTAATTAGCTTTCCAGGGGGTGGGGACATCGAAGGGGTAGGGGTTTCAAGGGTAGTCAAGAGTACCCTTGGCATTATCCAGGATAATGCCAAGGGTACTTTATGGGAGATGGAGGGGTACAAGTCCGTATGCCACCCCCGGAGAATAGGGCCGGCAGGCTGGAGATGGCAGACTTAGGGAATTCGACGGTGGTGGGGGTGGAGAAGAGGGGTGGTAGAGTCGACGATCCCGGCGGTATCCGCACTGGTGGGTGGGGGGATCTGAGGGTGGGGTACCTGGAGGTTCAAACCCTCATAGACATATTGGGGGTATCCCCGCCTCCCCGGATACGCCGCTACCCCGGTAGGGTAGGCTCAGGGGCCGTTGTGATGGGGTAGGGTACAGTAACCCGGGCCGGGGCTACTAGTCACCCGGTAGGCTCAGCTCCGGGGTCAGGTCACTTGATAAGTTGGGCCTTCACTGCCGCGACGGTGACGTTTCCGACTCGTCAGTCGCGGCCCCCCAGGGCCAGCCGCCCCGGGAGCCTGAGGCTCACTGATCCGGCGACCATATTGTCACTGAAGCCTACTAGTATGATACGACTCGATGATCCGAGGCCTGCGGCCGCGTCCCCTCACTTGACTCGGCGGCGGCCGAAGTTACAAGTTCAACGGTGCCGGGCGGCGACTCAGGGCCGAGAGGCGCGGCGCCTCAGCCCGCCGAGCGGCGCGGCGCCTTCAATGATTCCGCCAGAGTCGTTACGGGACCGCACTTTCAAGTAAGTTTTCAGTACTATAAACCGGGCGGGCCCAGCCTGGTGAGTGGCACGGTACTATACTGGCACGCCGTGCCAGCCCCCGGCTACCGTACTGCGGCACACGTGACGCCGTGACCGTCCGGGACGCCTACGGTCGCCGGCGGGCTGAGTGCGGGCCAGCACCCGCCTGCAGTGCCGGGCACCGGGCCGCTAGCCTGTACCGTAGTACGCCGGCCCAGCGGGCCGAGCCGCCGCCGGCGCCGGGACTCCCGGAGTCCGCCCTCGGACTGTGCCGTACGGAGCCTGGGAGCCCGGCAGCCTGTGAGGCCAGTCATCGCTCAACAATCGCCGGACCCTCATCCCCGCTAAACATCAAGAAAAAACCACCCTACCCTGGAGTAAGAATGGACCCCACCCTTCGCTTTCGTGATCGATGTCCACCCGTCATATTCCCAACCCACCCACCCAAAATATACACTCTACCGCTGGATCGCTACCACCACCGGTCCATACACCTACCCCTACCCAGAGCAGTCCCTCTGTAATCAAGATCAAGGTGATCCGAACCTACCAGTGCACATAAGAGGACTACCCCCGCATGCCAGACCCATTGGTACTCTCTACCACCCCTGGTAATGAACCCCACCCTACCCACATTTCGATACACTAACCACCCGTGCACGATCATGTGAACACCCACCCTGTGTAATTGACGCGCCCCCTCCTACCCTACCCCTTTATTATCGCTTTTACTACCCCCTACATTCCTGTCGTACCACCCCTCCTTCACACCACGACAGCCGCCGCGACAGCTTCGCAAGCACGCGAAGAATGCGAGAGAGAGGGAGAGGAGAGGCAATGGGGATCGAGGGGAGCATAGAGGGAGAGGGGAAGGGAGGGAGGGATGGTTAGATCAGGATAGAACAGGGAAGAGAAGGAGGGGAAGGACAGCACAGCACAGCACAGCACAGCACAGCACAGCACAGCACAGCACGGCACAGCACAGCACAGCATAGAAGGAGGAAGTAGGATGAAGGGACCTCTAGAGAGGAGAGGGATAGAGAGGGATAGGGATAGGGATAGGGGAATAAGATGAAATAAGCGGGGAAGTGAGCGGGGAAGTGAGCGGGAGAAGGGAGAGGAGGAGGAGGAGGAGGAGGCGAAGGCACAGAAAGGAGGAAGCACGACATGGAGAGAGGCATTGAGGAAACGGAGGGACTCGGGGAGGCCAACAGAAGGAGAGACCTTTGGAGCGGTAGGGAGGCAGGCAGGAAGGCGTGGAGGGAGGGATGGAACAATAAAGTCAGGGTGTGACAGAGCAGGACAGCGTGTTTATGAGTGAGTGGAGGGCTAGACACGAGAACTTAGAACTGAAGAAGCGCTCGCAGGGCAAGAATGCAGAGTGTAAAGACGCATTGAAGGAAATTGCTATGTGATACGTCACAAAATCAACCTGTCGGTTTTGTCATGTTATTTTTGTTTCGATTCAGCCGTAATTTCCAATCCATCTGTATTCTTCTGAAAGCTGATGAAAAGAGTACAAATAGACGTAGATTGCGACCCAAGTGCATTGTCGTTGACATGTCAGAGTCCTATGCTAGGATATATATTCGTTGCTATGGGATGAAGCATGCAAGCCTGTTAGTTTTCTGAAAGAAGAAGAAATATAGGCAATGCATGAGATGAATCTCGAGGATGATTTTGTCATCCGTCATGATTCTTACCTTCTACAAAGTGAAACATTGCGCTCTTGCGAGAGTGTTCCAAGCCGTAGAAGGGTTATCTCTGACATTTTACCTTTGAAGATGTTGGAATAATCCGACGTCGATGATGCGATGATCTCCCCGGCTCCTTCATGTGATCAACGAAGGATGAAGCTACGGAGCCCCTGATTGTGGATTTTGAGGTCTATTAGTATGAGAACGAATGGGCTTCGACGATACTCACGTGTTGGTTTGACAGTTTCCATTCGTCAGTCTGACCTGATTCAACCATGAGTGAGCATGAGAATGACAAGAAGCGAAAAGCCAACGAGGTATTCCAGGTGTCAAATTGGTCACTGCAATCTGACACATGAACAGATGGACGCGATTGCTGTGGCGCCCAAGAAGAAGTTTCTTGCGGCGCAAGCAGAAGCATGCAATGAAGTCAAAGCTGCTACAGGGTCGTCCACCGTGAAGAAGGAAGACAAACTATCGCCTCACATCAAGTCAGAAGTTAAAGACGAGAAGGATTCAGACTCCGCCCAAGTCAAAGTGACTGATAGAAGCGAGACTTCTTATTCAATTCGAGACAATGCACCTGCCGGGGCTAATGCAGCAGATAGCGAAGAAGTTCTGAGATTCAAGAACGAGCAGCTTTTTGCTGCCCTAGAGGTGAAGTTGACTCTTGCGTGCAAGTGAAAATTCATTTACGTGACCACAGGCAAAGAAGCACGAGATCAAGCGATTAGAGGCCAGGGTAAATGTGTTAGAATCAGCAGATGAGGATCGCAAGAAAATCATTGGTTGCGTAAATCGTCACTGGTGCGCATTGACAGAAGAGCTGAAAAGTACGTTTCAACGTCTGGAGCATTCGACATCGGATTTCAAGAAGGAACACTCAAGCGTTTTTGAATCGATTATCAGCTTGAAGGTATGACTTATTTTCCTTCGTTCCAATGCTTTACTGACCTATAACGTGAGCAGGAATTGGTTGCAGAGGATGTTGAAAGTTCAATATCGTCGAGCTGTCAGATTGCGCAAGAGTTGATGCAGGAAGTGGTGCAATCCATGATGGATGACAGCGCTGCATACAAGAGGATTTTGAAGAACATCGAAGAGAAATCAAGTGACGAGACGCTCAAGGATGAAGTTTCTAAGCTGTCAAAACGCATGGAGGAAACCGAGAAGGACTTGGAGAAACTTCAGGACAGGCACCGCGAGTACGTAGTGGAGGAAGGGAAGAAGTTGGATGAAGCTATGAGGAAGGCCAGCGTGGTCGAGGACTTGAAATCAACGATCACAAACCTTACCATGCAGCTTGAGCGAGCAGAAAGAAGGCTCGTAAGGAGCGAACAAAACTTCTTGCAAGTGAAAGAATCTGGTGGGGGTCAGGTTTTGGTAAAGTCGCTGTCAACGACGTCCGAGGTACCTGAATCAAATAATGACGACATAATGTTCAAAGTGAACGAATTCAAGCACATGGCTGAATCTAGGTTGGAAGAGATCAAGAGCCTTAGGAAAGAATTGGCGGACCTCTCGGTGGAAAAATCTACTTCACAAACTTCGGAGGAACTCAGCGACACGGCGATTGTGCAATCTACTCCATACCTCTCATTGCTCGATCAGTTCAGACAAATGAAACGAGAGTGTGATAGCAACCACATGCCGAAGCTGCAGCAACTGAATGCTGAGTTGATCCAAGAAAGAGAAAAGGCAGCCAGTGAGAGAAAGAAGCTTGAGTCCGAAAACAGTGAACAGCTCAAGGCCCTGACTTTGAAGGTCTCGGAATATTCAGCTCAGCTACTAGAAGCCAAACAAGAGCTCAAGTCTGCTCAATTCAAGCTGGAACAGAAAAGCGCTTCGGACGTTTCAGCTCAGCGAGAGAAGGAGCTGAGCGAATCGTTGCAGAAGCTTCAGGCTGAATACTCTCGCTTGAGAGGAGAACGTGAACGACTGAAAGCACGTCCTGACGGGGATGAGCTGAGACGAGAGTTGAGGGAGAAAGAGGAGAAGCTTTGCAAGGAGCGAGACATCAAGGCGAACGAAGCGAGTGATTTGTCTGACCAGGTCAAAGTTTTGCAGGAGAGAATCAACTCGCTGATACAGGAGAAGAAGGTTGGAGATGCTCCCAATGGTCACAACGCATTGGAGTCCACATTACAAGGGGAAGTTGATTCACTCAAGAAGGAGATAGAAGGATTGAGGACAGAGAAGAAAGATCTGCTAAGAAGGTTTCAGAAGGCGGATAGGGGTTATCATGAGTGCAATCGACTGTACCAGCAGAACAAGAGGGAACGAGACACCATCATGAAAGATTTGGAGTCTCTGGGCTTGTCTTTCGAAGAGCTGCAAGAGCGGAATTCGAAGCTGCTGGAGAGCATCAAACAGAAGGATGACGAATACTCGGAAGCTCTGAGGCAGCGGAGAAAGGAGAGGCAGGAGCGCGAGCTGATGCTGGAGGAGAAATCGGCGCTGAAGACAAAGCTGGACAAGGCTGAGGAACTTTTGAAGGCCAAGGAAGATCTGATAGACAAGTGCAAGATAGAGCTGGAGGCTGTGAAGCAGGAGGCTGCGAAGAGGCTGAAGGAGGAGGAATGTAGTGTCGCTATGATCGCAGAGCATAGGAAGCTAGTGCAGGCAAAGGATGTGGCCTTGAAGGAAGCGAAGCGCGAGGTGGAGAAGGTGAAGCAGGCACTAGCGGATGGAAGCAAGGAGCGGAAAGAAGGGGCACAGGCGTTGCAGGATCTTCAATATGAGAAGAAGAGGATCCAAGAAGAGCTTGAGAGCGCCAACCGACGACTGGTGCACCTGGTGAGAGTGTGGCGATTGATTGCTCTTGTCTCGTTTGCCTCTTCCTCTCTACCCCCCCCCCCCCCCCCCCCCTTGTTCTCCCTTGGTGTACCCACTCGCCCCCACATTCAGAAAAATTTTCCCCCAACGTTCAAAGAGGCCACTGATATCATATTTCAAATTAAACATCACATTTTCATCGGGAATGATGATTGCTTCTATTGTACTCAAAAAAAAAAAGAATCTGACATGCGTTTCATCCCGGTGCCTGTAACAAGGAAACAGATCATGACCTATCTCTCCTTAAGTCGCCAGGGAATGACATCCTTCGGCAATGCACCTGCACATGGAAATGTCAAGTGGACCGATCTGTTTGAGAACCTTCGATTCTTCGAGTTGGAATGACTCTGTTTCTTGGGAAATACGCAGAACATAGCCTGAAATGTTCACAGATCATCACTGG